GGGGCGGCAGCGCATCTCCTAAACCCACAAGGACCATCACACAAGGTGGAGGAAGCCCAGATGCTCCCCAAGGCCAAGAGCAAGACCGGGGCTGCTCTCCACTTCTGCTCAGGACCATATTGGAGGCCAAGGAGGCAAAACAACGAATTAAGAGGCATCCGGATCAGAAAAGGAGGGGTAAAGCTCTAACTGCAGATGACGTGACTGTGTTCAGACGACCCCAAGGAATCCGCTAAGACTGTTAGAGCGAGTGCCGCAGAGCACAACGTCGACGTACAAAAATCCACTCTATTTCTGTACACTTGTGACAATCTCAAAATTCCACTTATGTAACATATGTAGGGATAAATTTAACACAGGAAGCATGAAACTTATACCCTACAAAAGACCCAAATAGAAAAAAGACGTTCCGTGTTCACAGACTGAGGATGGGATGGGGCTCGCAGGGCACAACCTGAGCTGACCTACAGGTTCCAGATGGGCCCTCTCAACCCTGGCTGGCTTCAGTTGTTGAAATTAACAAGCTGATGCTAAAATTCATACCGAATCCCAAGGGACCCTGAATAGGCCACACAGTCTTGAAATACGACCACAAACTTGCAGTCCTCACGCTTCTTGATTTCAAAACTTAATACAACACGACAGTAATCAAAACAGGGATGGGGCACCTGGGTGACTCAGTCAGTTGAGGGTCTGACTCTTTATTTCAGCTCAGGTCATGATCTCACCGTCATGGGACTGAGCCCCACATCAGGCTCTGAGATGAGCATAAAGCCTGCTTAAGATTCTCTGTCCCCCTCTATCCCTCTCCTCTGCTCATATGTTCTCTCTTTCTCTCACTAAAATAACAAAAGAAATTAGGGGGTGGTGCCTGGGTGGCTCAGTCAGTTAAGCGTCCAACTTCAGCTCAGGTCATGATCTCACGGTTCGTAGGTTCAAGCCCTGCATCCGGCTCTGTGCTGACACCTCAGAGCCTGGAGCCTACTTGGGATTCTGTGTCTCCCTCTCTCTCTGCCCCTCCCCTCCTCACACTCTGACTCTCTCTCTCAAAAATAAACAAGCATTAAAAAAATTTTTTTAATGAAAACAAAAAAAAACTAAAGACAAGGAGGTCTTGGCATAAGGACCAATGGACCAAAGAGGCCAGTAATAAACCCACACATACAGTCAAATGGTGTGTGACAAGGGCACCGGGTCCATTCAGTGGGGACAGGGCTGGACCCCCACTTCACACCATACACACACAGCTCGCCACGGGATCAAAAACCTAACTGTGAGACTCTTGGAAGAGAACATGGGGTGAGTCATGACTGGGGTGTTCAAGGACACACACAAGTACACACCAGCCCGGCCAGTAACACAACAGCACACCCAGCAGATGAGAAGTGAAACACAACCACAGCCATGGTGCGGAGGAGGAATGTGTGTGTGTGTGAAGACCTCACAAGTAGGAGGAGGAGGCAAAATCTATAGGGCAGGAAGTCAGGACAGCGCCACCTTCAGGGGGCACAGTGGCACGGGGATGGCTCCACTCCCTCATCCAGGTGCTGGCAAAGGGGTGTCCGTGGGGGGCCGTGCACGAAAAAGTTAAAACTACACAGTGTAATCCTCAAGCCAGAAACCACAGGGACAAAGGCCCTGAGCACCTGTTCACAAGGCACGAATCTGGGGTGTGCAGAGAGCTGGTCACAGCCTGTACGGGAGACACCATCACCGCCTCTCCTGTACTGGAGCGAAGGCATACCAATGCCACGTCAGTGGCTCTATGGGGACACCCGAACGAGAGCGAACATGGGGAGAACGGAGCGGAGAGACAGATTCGCCTGCACCAAGCCATTCCTCAAGGACCCACCTCTCTCCGGCCACACACGAGCCACTGCCCTATTCCCTCTGTAGCCGACCTCAGCTTAGCTGGGTTTCTGGCATTCAAAACCGAAGTGCCCCACCTAATACACACCACGTTCTCACGCTTCTCATCCACATTAACGGGCGAAAACCACATCTCGGGGGCCCGACCGCCCCGCGTGCCGGGCTCCCGGCTGCAGGAGGCGGAGAGGACTCACCGCACACCCGGGGGCTGGCCCAGACGGGCTCCCCTGGCCAGCTGGCGGCCCTGCCAGGCACCATCCTCCTCATCAGATTCCCCGGAGCCCTGGCCCTCCTCCTCGTCCTCGTCCTCGTCCTCCTCGTCATCAAACTGCTGGATTCGGTCCTTGTAGCAGATCTCCAGCAGGCTGGCATTGGGCTGTGGGGTGCAGGGTGGGAGGCTGGGGTGGGAGGCACTGTCTGCAGGACCCCCCACCCCCACCCCCACCCCCGCACGGCCAGGGACGGGGGGTACTCACGTTCTCGTCGTCGGCGTTGAGGGAGAAGGTGATGTTGGCGGTCTTGTCGAATGGCGCGCTAGGAGGGAAGTACCACAGCAGTGAGGCAGTGGCTGCGTCAGGGCATCTCGAGGTGGAGCACAGAACGCCTCCATCTCCTGTCTCAGCCCTCACACAGGGACGCCCGTTAAGGCGTAAAGATTACCGTCGAGGTGAGCTCTTTACGCAGGCACATGCTTCCCTGGGGAGACAGTCTAGTGCCCACGGTGACTGGACCCAACACGGCACGGTCAGAAGTGAAGACGCAACCGTGTGCCGACTCTGACGGACGGCACCTACTCTGTCTGTTCCCTATTCTGTCCCCGTGCTGCCCTGGGCCCCTGGTAGCTGGGGCAGCCGCACGCAATTTAAGCAGAGACCAAAGAAACAAAACCGAATGAGACCGTGGCCACGGGCCACAAGTGGGTGCTGTCGTCATCCCTCCTGTCTCTGAGGAGTGAGAGCCGGAGGTTCCCAGCGCCAGGCCACAGCACACACGGCCTGCATATCCAGCCCCAGCCAGAGCGGGGTGAGTCTGGGGCTGGGACTCGCCTCACCCCACCCGCCTCTCACGCCTCTCACCCCGCTCCCGGGGCCGACACCCAGCTCCCTCTGCTCAACTCCCTTTCTGAAAGCCCCACGAAACACTTCCAGCTCCAGGGAAGTGAGCGCACGCGCTTTCGATGCCAACACAAAGTGCTGCCGGGAGCGTCACTTAGTCTCCTCCCGCCAGTCTCCGCCTCGTGTCCTTCACCCACTTCTGTGGCGGCGTCGTGTCCTTCACCCACTTCTGTGGCGGCGTCGGACATCTGTCCGTCCCCCGCATTACGGATACTTCCCACGTTACCACGTGCCCCCCTCCCCCCAGGAAACACTGCCACGAAGATCTGTGGACAAATGGAGGTCAGTGATCGGAGCGCTGTCCCAGCTCCTGACACCGAGCAGACACGCCTACGCGGTGTCCTCGTGACCTCTCCACCCAGACACGCAGAGCTGGTCCCGGTTGGGCAGTCCACTCTGGCAGCCTGAGCCCTGCCGGGCAACGTCTTCAGCTCCAACATCCTAAAAATATTCATCTACCTTCCACCCTAGAATGCTTCATGGCTTTCAAGGTTTTTTAAAGGAGTCTGTAGCCCCACTGGAAACGATGTGACGGTGGAGGCAACAGTTTCCATCAAGAGGACAGCTGGTAGTCCCCACACCGTCCTCCACCAGGGCGGGGTCTTCTCTCTAGGGTCCAGGGCTCGGAGACACAGCCAGAACCGCCAGGTCATCCATGCACCGGGCACTGAGCTGGGCAGGGTAGCAGTGGACGCAGAGCTCACGTCCACATAGGCGAGGCAGCCCAGTCGCCAGCCAGTGCCCATCACGCAGCAGTGATCCTGCTCCCACACCGGCCAACACGCACCTCAGTCTCCCCAGCTCTAACCGGGCTCCTGAGCCCTAAGCAGAGGAGGATGGTGGGCACGTGATAGGACACCACCCAAGAAGCACCCAACACACTGCTAGCGATGAAGCAAACGCAGACAGGGACCTCAGCTCAGCTGCCCCCGACCCAGGGACATCCGTGGCCCCCAGCCCCCCCCCCCCAGTGACACTCAGCCACTGGTCCTCTGCTACCTTCCGACTGCTGCCACTAGGTTGCTCATGCAATTTACGTGATGTTAGAAAATCCTAATTTTCTTCTCTCGACTATAAAAGCAACAAATACCTGTGCTGGAAAGCTCGGAAAATAAAGAAGAAAGTTGGTGACGGCAACACCAAGTTAAAATATCATTACACCACAATTACAAAGAAGCACAACTAGTCACTGAAAGAATTTCTCCTGTCAGCCTGGGGCCTGTCAGCCTGGGGCCTGTGCAGGCGAGGGGATGTGGGGGCCACTCCGGCTTCGAGGACCCATCCCAGAAGCTCCACACGGCCCAGCTCAGGCCCAGCTCAGCACAAGGCCTGTCCCCACCCACACCAGGGAAGATGGAAAAGATGGCAGGAGGAGCCACAGGGCAGGTGAGTGCTCACTTTCCGACCCACGGCCCCGTGCCCCCACCCTGTCAGGGAGGGCGCACTTACTTCACACTCTCTTCCTGCTCCCCAAACTCCTCGTCGTTGAAGCCAAAGTGGTCGATGAAGGCAGAGGTCATGCGCTGCATCTGGAAGTCCATGAAGGCCTGCGGAGGAGGGGCGGGGCGGTGGTCAGGGGCTGGGTGGGGCTCGGAGGAGCAGGCCAGCCCCCGTCCCCGCCCCGCAGCCCACCTGCTGCAGCACCGCCTCCTCCGGGAAGCTGAACTCCTTGAGCCGGTCGTCCTCATCGTCGCTGGAGGAGTGCAGGTGGTGGGTGCTCACCTGGGACGGGTAAGCAGGCAGGAGTGAGGACCAAGGTGGGCAGGGTGTGGGCGGATAGGGGTGAGGACCAGGGCGGGGAGGTATGGGCGAGTAGGGGCGAGGACCGGAGGGGTGTGCGCAGGGGAGAACCCCGATGGAGGGGAGAATCAGCCTCACCAGGTCCACTGTGTTCTTCCTGTTAGTTTCTGCCAGGGGTCCGGACACGAAGGCCTCCCACTGCTCCTGCTGCTCACTGGGCAGGTCTGCTCCGAGGGAAGGGGACAGGTCGTGAGGGGCCCCACGGTGTCCTCCCCTGCCCTCCAGAGCTGGGGTGTGCCCAGGCCCTCACCCTTCAGCAGCTGCCCCAGCTGCTCAGCGTTGGGCCCCTTCTCCGCGTTCTGCACCAGGGCATTGGCCAGTCTTGTCAAGTGGCCCATGTAGCCCTTGCGAGGGCCCCCTGCAGACCTGGACAAGATCAGAGGCCGAAGCTGGACACTGGCCACACCTGCCCCTGCCCCGCCCTCCCCTGGGGGCAGGGGGCCCGGGGGATGCTCACTGCACGAGGTCGTTCTCCTCCCAGGAGGTCAGGATGCGCTCTACCAGGCGGCACTGCTGCAGCAGCTGGGACAGCAGGGTGGGTGTGGGGGCGGGGCCAGACTCCGCCCCTCCTCCCCTGCGTCCCTCCAGCCCCACCCCCACGGAGGTGCTGCTGGACAGCTCCTCCCTGAGGCCCTGGGCTAGATCCAGGGAGGCCATCCCTCTGTCTCCCAGGACACCCGCTGCCCTGAGGGCACCACATCCTGCACCTACCTGCACCATCACCCCCCATTTCTCGAAAACAGACCTAAGACAAGGCCGAGCCCCACCCCCAGCACGCACAGGCGCCCAGCAGGCAGACCTGGGGCAGAGCCCACCTGAGGGGAGAGAAGGGGACCTGGGAGCCCAGCTCACATGTTTCACGACGGGGTTTGGAGCAGGTGTCTCGAGGCCACTGTCGGAAGGAGGCCCAGCGCTCAGCATGGCACTCACACACGACTCCACTTGAGCATGCAGGAAGTTGTTGAACACGTAGTGGAAGAAGAGGTCCTGGGTGGGGGAAGCACAGGCTGGCGCCGAGGCCCCCCACCTGCCCTCTGCCCCCAGCCCTGCCCAGGGGCCCCTGCCCAGTCCTGACCCCCTCGGACCCCCACCCCCCTACCCTCCGCACCAGCATGGTGTTGGGCACATCCAGTGCCAGGAGCTCCTGGGTCAGGGCTGCATCGTTGGCGCTCAGGGCGCTGGCCAGCAGCTTGACCACGTGCAGCCGGGTGTTGCCCAGTGGTGGGGCCAGGCTGCCCCATGTAGTACGCAGCGGCTCCAGCTACAGGCAGAGGGGTGGCTCAGCGCTGCCCAGGATGTGGGGCCACCCTCCCTGCCACCCTCCCTCCCCGGCATCCCAGCCCACCTCGGGGGGCTCAAGCAGGAGCTGGTGGAAACGGCCAAGGCGTGGGCGCAGGGCGTGCAGGGCGCCTACACTGGACGTGGTGCTGTCCAGGGTCGCCTGGGCCAGGAGCTCCAGCTGCCCGTCCACACTGCTAAAGAAGTTGTTCACGGTCACAGACTCAGACCTGCGGTAGGGGACAGGACAGAGGACCTGTGTGCATGGATACGCACACGTGTGGCACTTCTGGGAGTGAAAAACTGCTTCCCTGGGAAGGGTAGGGCAAGGACCAGGGGCGGGTGCTCAGGGACTGTGCAGGACAGGCCCCACTGTCTCAGGCAACCACCTGCCTGAAGGGCCCCTGGATTCAGACAGCTACCTCCAAGCCACAGGCGGTTTATTTGGCCTCAGATATGAGCAGAGGACTCTCTTCCCGGGACCCTAAGTGACCACCAAGAAGGGGCCAGCCCTTGTAGAGGCCATGTCCCCATGAGTTTCACCTCTAGATGCAAAGGCAGGGCTCTGAGGGATGGCTCAGCCACCTGGGGGGGCTGGCCCCCCTCACCTTGGCCTTCTGGGCTCCAGCAGGGTCAGCAGCACCTGGATCCCGCTCACGATGACAGACTGGCTCTGCTCTCCCTCCAGCATGTTGCTTAGGAGCTGCTCGATCGTCTCCTGCCTGGGGCAGGGGACACGGCGGGGTCAGGGTGCAGGGCTCTGGACAGTTTCCCTCCCTGGGCCTGGGAACTGCCCCGCAAACCCACTTCTCCAGGGTGGCCAACAGCTGATCAGGCTCTGGGCTGTCCTGGACCTGGATCATCTGCTCCCGACTCAGGCGGATGATGTCGCACAGGGACTGGGACGCATTGGAATGTTGCTGGGGAGGCAAACAGAGAGCTGAGGACACCAGCCCAGCTGCTGGGCCCTCGTGAGCTGACCAGCTGGCCTGTAGGAACACAGACATGGGGAAACACAGACATGGGGAAACAAATGCCGAGGGAAGAAAACGAAGACACCAAATGCTGGGAGAGGACAGACGATGAAGAAATGGGAAACCCAGGAAAGCTTCCTGGAGAAGGTGACACCCCATCTGCTATAGCCAAAGGAGGGAACGACCAGATAGATGTCCAGAGTTTGGTGAGTGGATAAATAACAGTGATGTGTCTGCATGCCAGAACATTCCTCAGCCTCAGGAAGGGATGGAGCACTGACATGCCACAACACAGGTGAGCAAAGAGGCCAGTCATGAAAACCATGTATTTCGTGATTCCATTCGTACAGTGAGCCCAGGAAAAGGAAACCCAAAGACAGAAAGCAGACTGGTGGCTGCTGGGGGCTGGAGGACCGCAAGGCAATGGAGTGACAGCTAATGAGCACACCATTTCCTTTCTGGGGTAATGAAAAAGTATTCTAAAACAATGTGGCGATAATCATACAATTTCGTGAACACACTAGAAACCACTGAATTGTGTTCTAAATAGGTGATACACATGGCACGTAATCTATATCTCAACAAAGCTGTTACAAAGAAAAGCCAAGAGAGAAACATGAACACAACTCTTGAGTGTAACCTACTGAGCAGCTGCCAGGGCCCACCTGTGCAGACCCCAGACCCACCCGGGCCACGGGCCGCTCACTCTTCAGAGCCCCTGTGCCACAAGGCCTGCACAGCCCTCAACCTACAGGGACAGATACTGGCTAGATACTCAGGGCTAACTCCCCAAGCCTGTGGGCCTCGGCTCTGTAAGCCAGCAGCTCCGGAAGATACGGCGAGGCCCCGTGAGCTGCAGTGAGGATGCGGAACCTCTGTATGGATTCTCTGAAGCACAAGTAGGGTCTATCTGCCAGGTCACAGTCAGCAGGGAGAAGTGAGGAAGAGGACGAGGAGTGAGAGAGCTGGCAGTGAGGGCCTAGAGGCCGAGGCCTAGCCAGGCTTCAAATAATCGAATGCTGAGCAGGTCACCAGTTCCTGGCCCGTCCGTGTGGTCGACCCCTCTTCCTCTCTCAGCTCTTAAAGACTCAAGGCATACACAGGTTGGCTTCTAGCTTCTTTACAGTTCTCTGGGAAGGAGGAGGGCAAAGCGATTATTGAAGAGCAGTCTGAGGGAAGAGCCATACAGGAAAACAACAATGAGGACCTCATTGTCATCACGGTGGATCGATCAGCGAGCGCTGCATCTTCTCCTCATTGAGCCACTGGGGGTGAAGGGCGGCCCGCCCGCAGCCCCGCCGAGCCCCGCCCCACTCGTTAACCACGTCTGCCTCAGCTGCTGACTCCACAGGTGAAGGCGCCGGCAGGAGGAGATCCCGCATGATGGCCGAGGAAGGTGCCGATGTGCCTGCAGCAGATCCTGGCTCGTCCTTCTTCGCGGGAAGGACAGTGAGACCAGAGGGCAACACTGGAATCGGCTGAATCTGACCAAGCAGGGCCAGCGTACCTGCCATACCGCCGCCCTGGCCCTGATGTGGGGGGTACCTGTGGTCTGTCTTCTTGGTTGATAAGAATGCTGTGATGACCTTGCCTTGCCTTCTGGTGACTGGGCAGTGGGTTGAGGCTGCCGTGCCCTTTCTGCAGAAGCGACCTGCCCGATTCGGGAGAGGTTCGTCCTCGGCACCCAATGGCGTCGTGATCTACAGAACGCGTCTGGGGTCAGGATCTCACCGTGCCTTCGGTACCTGGGGGTTCCGCGTCAAAAAGGGGTGGCAAATGTCGGGAGGCTGGCGGGGTCATCCTTGCCTCCTGTCAGAACCCGCTCGTGGCTTACCCCAGGCCAGTCAACCTGAGCGGACCGACCCCAGCCCATACTCCAGGCCCAGTGACCTCTGACATCATACCCCTGCTTCCCGGCCCCCATGCCTGCGGGGCCATGCTGCGATGCTTGACGGGGGGTAGAGACTCACTTGCATAACGCCGCTCCTCTCCCGTGGCGAGGCTCGGTGAGCCATAGCCAGCCCTGCAGGTCTGCGGCGGCTGGCAAGAATCCAGCGGTTGGCGACCTTGCCTCGCAGCGCGTCCTCTCTTCATCGTGGCGCTCGGGCGACAGTCCTCGGCTCCAGCAGCGTCCGGGGAGTGTAGTGTGCAGGTCAAACCCAAAACATGTGGCCTATGATGAGGCCTATCACACACCCGTACTCATCTCTCTATGCATGTTACTCCCCTCCACCCCTCAGCCACCCTGTGCTGGATGTGCCAGCCAGCAGGAGTCCCCACCTCTGATCCCAGAGGTAGTGCACACACAGAGGCCAATGGCCCCGACCATCCTTGGGTGAGAGTCCGGGGGGCAGAGAGAGGAGAGGGGGGGGCCTGAGGTGCCTGCGTGGCCACCTGAGAAAGAGCCTGAGCTGTGCAAGAGCCCCCTGCGATCCTGTCCCAGGGGCCTGTGTCCCTGGATCTGGGCAGGGACCCTGTGCCAGTGGGAGCAGTGCTCACATCCTGGAGCCTCTGGCATCAGACTGCTTCAATCTGTGTGAACAAAGTCAATCCCCATGATTTTTAGCCAGCATGGGGCTGCCCAGCCCAACCAACAAATCACTGCAGTGATGCAGGGGCATGTGGCAACAGAGAGGAAGTCTGTAAAGTGTCTCAGGCTGCCTTGTGGCTGTATTGCCTGCACAAAACACACTGGCCACCCACCCAGGGCCAGGACAAGAAAGGCGAGGGCCCTCCCAGAAAAGGAAAAAAATTTGAGGAACCAGGACAGGGTAAATGACTCAGTGGGGAGGATGCAAAGATCCCACTCCCTCCGGACCAGGGCGCACTTCACGGGAGCACTCCCTGGGTGCCTGAGGTCCTGGAAGCCCCACCTGTGCCTTGCGTGGACTCAGCCAGGAGCCTCATTCCCACTTGAACCTCCTGCTGCCCTGCACTTGCCCCACCAAGCTCCCGAGGCCACTGGGGTCCCCTGCATGAGCCACCCGTGGCCCCTCTCACAGGGACACGTCATGCCCTGCTGCAGACGGAGACGCTCGCAGTTGGGGGCTCCCCGGCGCCACACAGGTGCCCCAGACAGGCATTAGTCACCCTGCCTGAAAAGCCACCCAAAACGAGGCCACAGGGATGTGGACTGGGGCCCTCCTCCTTCTTGCCCCACCGCCGCAAACGATGGGCCAGGCCCAGAGCACAAAGTGGCTCTGACTCCCTCAGGAAGCAGCCAGGACTCAGCAGGGCAGGCTGACACCGCGCGCTGGCAACCCGGTCCCTTGAGACACAGCCCCCCCTCCCACCCAGCCCTCCCTCCCAGCCTCTGCGGGAGACTACTCACCTCCAAGCATCCTCCCCACCCGCCGTGCCCAGGAACAAGTGGCTCTAAATTTGCAATGATCCCAGATCTGGGGCCCTGGCTCAGGACGGTGGCAGGTGGAGTGGAGTAGACACCACCATACAAGACGGCAGCAGGCACCAGGTCCCTGCCAGGGTGGCGGGGGGCCCTCCCACAAGCCCAGAGGTCCTGTCCCACAGCACACAGGGACTCTCCCCTTAGCCCTCCACCCTCCACTCCACGCTGGCCACTTTTCTAAAACACAAACTTGAGTGCCTGGTGTTCGCTCGCGGCCAGAAGCCCAAAAGGGCTCCCTGGGTCTCGCCATTTGAGACCCCAGGGGCCCCTGCCAGCCTTCCAGCCGGCTCGGGCCAAGCCCAGCCTCCCCTTGGACCTCCACTCCCACAGCACTGGCACACACCGGCTCTCTCACACCTACACGGCGCCTCCCCAAGGAAGCTACAGCCTGGCTCCTCACAGGTCATCCTGCAGCTGCCATTTAGGGGTGTGCCTCCCCCAGCCTGCGGCCGGCCCTCCTGAAGAGGTCCCTGCAGGACATCACTGCCCCAGCACCATGCTGGACATCTAGGCCTCCCGGCATCACAGGAATGGAGGGGGCTCCTTCCCTAACATGCCAGACTGATGTCCCACATCAGCTGTGTACTGACAGCTTTCAGGACCGTCTGGCCTTTATCTCTCCCTACTCTCATGACTGCCCCCCAAGAAGGTATGGATGGCCCCATTTTACAGGCGAGGATGCTGAGGTGCACAAAGGCGACTGTCCACCCAAGCTCCCGGAAGGTAAAGTCTCCGGGCGGGGGGCCTTGTCCTGTTCACTTACAGAGGAACGGGCAGGCTCAGGCCCAAGTTTGGGCAGGGCCAGCTCGGCCTGGCTGTGCCATCCTCACCCAGACTCTGACGGCCGGCCCCTTCCCAGTCCTCGGGGGCTTGGCGGGACACTCAGCTCCAAGTCTAGCGCTTACTCAGGAGACACCTCTGAATTCAGGGAGGCACAGCCTGCACACCTGCCCATCACTCAGCCACTGGGGGCGCTTCTCTAACCTGCAGAACCCTCACCCCGACCAGGCCCCGTCACCTCTCTCCATTCTGTTCCACAGGCATCCAGGACCGTCTTGCTAAGACGGAACCTGACCACGTCCTGTCTGCTCAGGAGCCTGAGAGTTTCCCTCCGCTCTCAGATACATCTAAATTTTGCCCCGGCTGCAGGCCTGTGTGAGCTGGCTCCTCCAGCTGCCCTCACACCGCGTTCCTCACCCGCACTGGACACACCGGCTTTTCTGTGTGCAGAGCACACTTGGCCTGGGATCTTCTTAGCAACTCTGCTCTTGCTGCCTCGCCGGCCTGGGATGTCCCAGTAACCGGCTCCTTCTCATCCTTGGGGTCTCCTGCCAAGCCTCTACCTCCCGAGAGGGTGGAAGCAGTGCTCTGGCACCCCCTCCATCCACCAGCTCTGGAATGTGCACCCCGCTCCGCACGACAGTGTGCTGTCACACGGTGCACGTGCCCTGGTGCCCTGACCAGATGACGGGCAGCACAGGCAGAGCCTTCCTCGTTAGGCTGCTGTGAGCGCCCAGGGGCAGCACCCTGCACAGCACCTGGTACGCGATTCAATTATGTTCAAAATAGCAGCAGAAAGATAACCCCGTCTGCAACCCCCCACGTGTCATAAGGCCCCTGCGCTCTC